GGGATAGGATTAAGGGATTGACTGGTGGGGGGCTCTGGAAACCCTGTCCTCTAGCCTACTCTCTGTGGGTGTGCACACTGAGGGTAGATGTTTGTGGTTACATGCAGGGTAAGTGTACACGTACAAGTTGTGAATAGGGCAGGGCTGCAGGGAGGTGATGGAGGGTGGCACAGTTTTGGGTACAAATTTATGGCTGCAGAGGGATGAGGGTCTGGGGCACCACTGTGAGGGATGGTGTAGACCCCCTGCTCCTGACCTTAGGGATCTGGCCAAAGGAGCACCCTCCTCTCCCATGAGCCCCTCCTGCCAGCCCTGGCTGCCCCTTAGCATCATGTTCCAGCTGCTGTGCTGAAAGCAACAGAAACAGCTTTGTTCCCGAGGGTGAGTTTTATGGAGCCTAGGGCGTGCACCAGCTGCCCATCTGGGGTTCCCAGAGCCCTCCTCAGGGAAGGGCTCATCTATGCAGACCACCAGCCAGAGCCCTCGACCACCTCTTCTCTCCCCCCTACTTCCCACCTGCAGGCAGCCCTGAAGCTTCTAGCCCTGTTATGCAGCCTTGTCCGCCCCACCCCCAGCCCACAGTCTCAACAGTGTCCTCGCCCATTTCCTTGCCTCCCCTTCTGTTCCCCTCTCATGTCTCTGTCACACTGCCCCGGGGTGACCATTCCCACCTGCAGATCCGACTGGGTCATCTTCCAGGGCCTGAGCATGCGCCTGCAGCCTTGTGCCTCCCCCCGCCCAAATACACTCTGGAAATCCTCACTGCTTTGACACCAACGCTGACCTCTGGCATAGCCCTGCCCGCTTCTCTGCTGGGCAGGTTCCCTGGGGGCATGGACGGGGCTTGTTCACTGGACAAGTGTCCTCCTGTGAGCACTTGTGACTGCTCCACTTAGGTCCCACCTTCTCCAGGGTTCTCCTCAGCTCAGCCTCCAGCAGGAGGCCAGCGCAGGGCTCTCTCCAGGTTCAGAGGGGAGGCCCCAGACGCAGACCCTGTCCCCAAGCCAAACTGCTCATCCCTCAGCCTCCTACCTGGATGCCGGCTCCTATTTTGGCTGCTGTGGGTGGGAACCCAGAGCCCTCTGGCTCCTTCTAGAAGAGGCAGGGGTGGATGGGCTTCCAATAGCCAATGCCCTTCTCCAGGGTCCCTGAACACAAGTGTGTGACCTCCACAGAGTTGTCCATGGAAAGAGGGGATAAGTTGGGGCCCAGGGAGAAGTAACCCCCCCACCTCGAGTTCTGTCATAACAGAAGCGGCCTGTCCACTGGAGGCCACCATTGCTGGAACATCCTCCCACATCCACCTGTGTGTACCTGGGTAGGGGTGTGTGTGAGAGGGCCTGTGTGTGAGGTGTGTGTAGGTATGTCACAGTTGGAGCTGTAGGAGGCCTAGAAGAAGGGACATATGTACTCCACCGAGGACAGTCCCCAGCGAAGCCCCTTCAGGCCTGGCAGTGTTAGCTCTGGTGGGCGGGGGGCACGGGACAACGACACCTCCAAGCCTAGCACCTCCCCTCGGCTTGGCCCTCTCTCTGTTGATTGCCTCAGGGGAAGACGAAAGACCTAGATGGACCACAACTTTGAGATGCAGCCACGTGGAGCCCCAGGGCCTGAAACCTCCTTCTCCCGAAGCCACCTGCTGGGGCGCCCTGCCCACCCCTCAAGGCTCCCTGGAGGGGTGCCCCCTCTTATCCCTGTCCTCAGGAAGACCATCCGTCTGGATGCCTTCCCGCAAAGCCACCTCCCACAGGCTGCTGGCCGGCAGGGCCTAGGAGCCAGGGCCCGGAGTGTGCCTCCGCAGGAGCCCAGTAACAGCCTCGTGCCCAGGAAGCTCAGCTCCATCTCCCTAACGCTCCGTCAGAACAGCCAGGCGTGGGGAGAGGGGTCCACCCCTGGCAGGGAGGCTGCTACCCACGGACGAGGGAGGCTGCCCATTCTGGACTCATCATCTGTGACTCTAGTGTCAGGGGGCAGGGTCCATTCTGAGGGCCCAGGGAACCCAGGTCTGGCCAAACCCAGCAGGATGCCCACAGTGGAGAAGCCTCTGGTGAGTTCCTACCTGGCTCTACCTTTCCAATCGCGGTTAGCCCAGAATCCAGCAAGCCCTGCAGGGCCGGGCTCCATGGGCCAGAGGCACCCTGTCCCAACAACTGCCCAAGTGCCTACCAGAGCTTCACCAGGAAGAGGCAAGTCCAGGTCCAGGGGTATCCCGAGATCCCGGCTGCATCTCCAAAGGGCCACTCCTACCACAGGACCAGCGATGGCCATGGATTGGGCGACTCTGGACACGAGGCCAGGCACAGTCAGACATTTAGCCCCAGTGGCCACCAACAGACCTAGCTTGGCTGTCAACTTAGCCACACCAAACCACATCCACACCACATCCAGACTGGACATAGGCACAGCCACAGAACTGGCTGTCACACTGGGCACAGCCACAGAACTGGCTACAGCAGGCACAGCCAAGCCACATCCAACCACGGGGGCCACTGCTGTGGACTTGGCAGCCCCACACCCAGTCAAGGTGGACACAGCCAGGCCAGACAGAGTGCTGGCTTCTGACAGAGCGAACCCAGACAGGCCGCACATAACTACGGGTTCTCTCGCTTTGTGCACAAGCAGGCTGGGCATAGCCACGGGTGTGGTTGTGCCGGTCACCCTAAACCCAGCCATTGGAGAGACCACACAGGACAGTGTCATTAACCTGACCACATCAGACACTGTCACCTCCCCACTGATGTTGAGCAGAAGCACAGACCCAGCCCTGGACCGTTCTACAGCAGATGCTGCCACAGATCTGGCCAGAAAAACCAAAGGTAAATTCAGAGAACTTGGCAGGGGATGCACTGGGCTACTGGGGGTGGGGAGGGGGACGAGGGTGGTGGTGGAAGGGCCTGGAGACGGAGGATACTTGGATAGGTCGGAAAGGGAGGAAAGACTGTAAGGTCAGAGTCAAATGCACTGGGGGGGGGGACAGGGTTGAGGGGCAGAACACAGGGGACACACCAGGGGCTGGGTCCCAACCTGCCAGTCAGAACCACGCTGAGGGAAGTCACCAGAAGGGAAGTTTACGAGGGTAACTTGTGGAGGATCCATTATGCAGAGTCCTTCTGCAGCAGCTGCCATGGTTGTTTCTGTGTTCCCTGAAGCGCTGGAGTACTCAGGTGGTTGATAGGTGAGCGGAGCTTTGGAGCAAACCACCTACATGAAATCCCAGACCAGCACTCAGTAAGTGGTGACTGCCTAATAGTCGTCGCTGCTGAGCTCCTCTAGATGTGAACAGTGACCTCCCCTGAGACCTCAGTCATCCAAGGTCAGCCTTTCAGATATCTGTTGCTTAAAAGGTGCCTCACCTGGACTTCTTTCTTGATCCTCCACCCCCATTCGTTTAGCCCTGAAAAGTGAGTTGGAAACATGTATGTAGGGAAGTCCTACACAGAACTATAAATAGGTCAGCACAAGGGCTGGACATTCATTTCATCTCAGAGAGGCTGTGACATGCTTGAAGTCATGTAGCTGGCTAGTGGCAGAAAGCTAATGGGAACCTGGATCTTAGAATTCTACTTTGGGCCATCTCATTCCCAACATTTCCAAGGCTGAGGTCTGGCAGATGCTTGGAAGGCACCCAGTCCAGCACCCTCACTGGGGCTTCAGGCGCCAGACCCCTCCCATCACACCACACTGGGTCTGGGGGAGCTCACCCAGGCTCCAGTCTCCACACTTCCTGCTGCAACCTCAGCACTCTCTTCTGAAATGCAGGTGTGGACAGCCAGGAGCCTGCCGGACCCCTGTACCTAGATGTCTCTCGGCCATGTCCAGAGGCAGCCCTTTTCTTCCCAAACTAACTCCTGCCCTCCCTGGTCTCACTCTCTCAGCTGCAGAAACCTGGGCACCCTCCTCTGTTCTCTCTCCTCCATCCCCTCCAGTCTATTTCCAACTCTGCTGATTTACCTCCCCAACTGCGGATCCCTTCCTCTCCACCCCTCTGCCCTATGATGCCACAGCCCCTCCCCCAGGGCTCTCCCTCTCCCACGCAGCTGCCACAGGAACTCACATATTTGATGGCAGCACTTTGAGCTTAACAGTCGTTGATGACTCACCATTATCTTCCCTTAAAGTCCAGCTCCTTAACCTGGCTTCCAAGGGTTCCAACTTCTCCAGCCTCTTAGCTGCATATCCCTGTCCGGAATGTTCCCACCTTCGCTGCTCCAGGGAGCCCTGAGCGGCCCACCCACACCACGCAGCTCTCACCTCTGAGTGCCTCCCCTCTGCTGCCCCCCTCCACAGAATGCCCCTCCACGGCTCTTCCCTCCCACCTCCTTTCCCCTTTCTCCTCCGGTTGCCACCTCCGTGCCCCCGCAGTACCCTGTGCATACCCTACTCCCTGCATTCGGCCAGTCCAGTTTTCTGTCTCTTCTACTAGACCCAGAGCCCTTTGAGGACAGGGATGGTCATCCTCATCCCTCATGCCCCAGGGCCTGGAAACGTGCTGTCCATTAATGCTAATGGCATGCATGGCAGATTTTTCTGATAGGTAAATTAAGGCTCAGGAAAGTTCCCGAGCAGCTCAAGGTCATAGGGCCCATCATCCCGGAGCCAGGCCTGGAACCTGGGCCCCGGACTCAGGTCTCTACAGGCACCCGCGCCTGGGCAGAGCGGCGCTGAGCCAGCGCAATATCCCAACCACCGCGTGACTCACGAGCACGCACCGCCGCCCGCTACTGCCACCGGTCCCCTGCGCCCCCCGCCCCGCCCTAGCCTAGAGTAAGAGGCCGGAGCCGAATCCAGGGGAAGGGACCAGGGCTGGGATGCAGGCACCTTCCTCGGTCCGGCATCCCGAGCCTGCGGGTACAGCGCCCCTGCGTGCCTCCCGGGCCGCCTGCAGCTGGGTGCCCGCTCCCGCGTGCGGAGGCGCAGGGAGCTGGTGCGGGCAGCTGGTGCGGGCTCGGGTGCCGTGGGAGGGGGAGGGGCTCTCAGCGGGGCCGGCGGGCGCGCGGGTCACGTGGTGCGGGTGGCAGCGGCGGCGGCGGCGGCATCGGTGCGCGCGGGCAGGGGCAGCGCGGCGCCGAGCGAGCGGAGGCGAGGTCCCGGGCGGGTGCGGCGGCGCGGGGCGCAGGGGCGGCGCGGCCGGGCCGCGGGCCGGGCGGGTGGGCGGAGAGCGCGGAGGGGCGAGGCCCGGCTGCAGGGGCCGCTCGGCCCGGGAGGAGCCCGCGCCCCGCTCAGCCTTGCAGCCCCGCGCCCTGAGCATCTCCCGGGAGAAACGGAGACAAAGGAGGATTCATGTCCAAAGGTAGGGCCGCTGGCCGGGCCACCGGCGCCCGCCGGTTGGAGGCTGCGATCTCGGAAAGCCCGGCTGGAGGTGCTAGCAGGGGAAGGGTTACTGCGCCGAGGAGCCCACGCGCGGTGACATATGCACAGACACACGCGCGCACGGTGGCACACACCCCAAGATATACATGCCCAGAGAAATTCACCCACAGGAACGTGGGGAGATACCGAGACACACCGACACGCAAGTAGGGATCCAGATGCGCACAGAAAGCCCCACACTGGAGCCCACCAAGACACACACACACATGCACACCACGCACAGGTATCAGCCACCTACCACCAGATACGAGACCTATGTGTGCGCTGACACATAGACCCCTTCCCCCACACACAGACAGGCACCAGCTGGTGGTCTCCTAGGGAACTCGTTGGCCTCCAGAGAACTGGGTGGGGGAAGGGGGTGTCCCAGGGCCCTTTGCTCCTGAGAATAGGAAAGGACTAAGATATCTTTTGTGATTCTTTTTCTGAGAGTGGAGGCTGGAGCTGGGGTGGACTGGAATTGCCTCTGCGGGTGGGGGTGGGGGTCTGGGGAAGGTCTTCAGCTCAGGAAGGAAGGAAGAGCCTCCCTACCCCCCACCGCACTAAGCCAAGGAGGCAGGTGCTATTCCGGAAAGGTCTCCTCCCCCTGCTGCCACCTTCCCAACTAAGGGGTGGGGTCCATGGGCCAGACAAAGACAAAGCCATTCATTTGCCTGTAAAAGAAAGCACCAGAGCCCTTGCTTGGCATGGTGACGGAGGTGCTGTTTCTGTGGGGGACTCGGCCAGCACTGAGTCAGGTGGACAATGCCTCTCTCCCTTGAGCACTCATGGGGCAGGTGGCTCCTGGCAGGGGGTGCTGCAGACAGATTTTCCTTTCCAGGGCCCTGGGAGAGCTTGGAGCCTAGGAGGGGCTCCAAGGACCATTTAGGCAGGATGGCATACTTGAGCTATGTTGTGCTGTGACCCCATCCTGAGCTCTTCTCACCCTTGGGGAGCCAGCCCCTTTCAATCCCTATTGTGGGGGAGGAAGCAGGTCTTTCTTAACAGAGTCTACACCCTTGACTGTGGCCTACACACAAGAGCCATTTGCTGGCCGGGGGTCAACTGCTTGGCTAGAGGAGCTTCTGAGGGAGGAGAAAAGTGACATCTGCCTAGCAGTGAGGCATGCATGCATGCATGCATTCATTCATTGCTGAGTACCTGTGTTATGCTGGGTACATTGGGGCACAGAGATCAGTAAGATATGGCTCTAGCCCTGAAGAAGGGTGGAAACCAGCGTATGTTCAATACCAGGTAATTTATGTCCATGCTTTTGTGTAACCTTCACAGCAACCCAGCAAGGTGGGTACTCTCCCCATTTTCCTGAGAACAGTGGGGCCACCCAGCTAGGGATCAAGCCTGGCCAGCTCCCCATCTGGGGTTGGCAGGTGGGACAGGGGCAGAATGGGGGAATGTAGGGGCAGAGGATGGAGCTACAGAATTCTAGAGCAGTATTTGTCCTGCACCCTGGAGATTTTTGTGTACTGTCAGGCACCCTCACCAGAGAGTGGGCCCTAGCGGACAATGACCTTGTCTGGGGTCCAAAAGTGTCCTTGGCATTTAGTCTAGGGTTTGGCTGGAGTAGGCTCCCATTTGACAGCAAGTGAAGTGGCCTGGCAGGGATGAACAGAATGAATGAATGAATGAATGAATGAATGCCTCAAGGGCTGAGGCAGCAGGAAGAAGGGCATCTACACCAGCCAGGAGGGAAAGCAGAGGCTTTCCTGAGGGGTAGCCCTTGGGCTGATGGAGAAAGAAGAGCAGGAGTTAGCCAGGGGCTGGAGTGGGCAAGGGTCTTCCAGCAAAGGTTGTGACACAGTGACCGCCCCAGGTTTGTAGTACTTGTGGCTGGTGGTGGTTAGCATGTAACTGGTATGCAATTGGCATGTGTTTGGGGGCGACTTGCCAGCAGGTGCTCTTTACAGTGAGCTCAGTGGGTGTTAATAGGTGCTCGCTGGGAGAAGGAGGTGATGTCTGTTCATGTACTGGCCCTGCAGTAGGTCTGCTGTGGCCCCTAGGAGTTGCCTGGGAATCTGGTAGGCAGGCCCCTTCTTGCAGCCAGGGTCTGTCTTTTAAAAAAAAAATATTTTTTTCTTTATTGATTTTAGAAAGAGAGGAAGTGGGAGAGAGAGAGAGAAACATCGATGAGAGAGAACATTGATTGGTCACCTCCTGCATGCTCCCCACTGGGGCTTGGGCCCATAACCTGGGCATGTGCCTTGGCCAGGAATTGAACCAGCGACTTCTTGGTGCATGGGTCAATGCTCAAGCACTGAGCCATACCAGCTGGGCAGGGTCTGTCTTTTGAGAATGCTCTTTTAAGAAGCCAGCGCTGAGCAGGCCATGGTGAGGACATCCACTTTATATGACTACTTGGGAAAGCTCCCAGAAAAAAGTACAAGAGTCACTTTCCAGGTGTGTAAAATGGGGTTACCCCCCTAATCACACACACACACACACACACACACACACACAGATCTATCTCACAGTGTGTGGAGACCAAATGGGCTCAGCTGGAGAGGCACAAGGGAAATGGGAAGGGCCAGTGTGTGAGCAGCTGGGCAGGGGAAATGGGGCACTGGCCCCAGTGCAGGTGTGCTGAGTGGGCCAGGAGTCACGTGGGGGAGCAGGCCCAGCTGTGAGAGTCAGCTGCTGTGGGCTGAGCCCATCTCTCTGCCCACTGCCTGGCTAGCAGCAGCTTCCTGGGAAAGCCAGGCCCTGGGGAAGTCCTGAAGCTTTGTCGGATTTACCTGTGTTGGAGAGTGACAAGGAAAGAACATTTTCCCCCTGGGAGAGAGAGTCTTGCCAGGATCCGTGGAAGGACCAGGCGGTGCAGTATGGGAACAGAGTCCTGGCTGTGTTGGAGAGTGGGGGAGGGCAGCGCTCCCATCCCCTCGCCCTGTTGCCCACGGGCTGTTCATCAGCCCTCCTGTAAGCTTGAGACTGCAGGGCAGAAACCGTGAACCCCAGGATTCTAGAATGGCAAACTGGAAAGGTGCTTGAGAGAGTGTGGAGTCCAACACTGCGCCTTGTAGTTAGCGTCCGGGTACCTCCCTTGGACAGTGCTTACACACGTACCACCTCGTCTCCTCTGACAAGTCCGTGAACTCGAAAGGGGCTGGGGCAAGAGGGCCTGGAACTGTGAGGCACTGTGTGGGCGCTTCTAGGCTTCATAGCTCATGTACCGCGCACCACAGTCTTCATCACGATCCTAACCAGTTTACAGCAAGGAAGCGGCTCCTGGGGGGAGTGCTTTGCCCAGGTCCACAGAGCTGGCATGTAGCGGAGCTTGGCTCTTCCCACTTCACCACATACACCCTGTTTTGCGGGTGGGAGATGCGGCTGCTATCCTGAACCCGAGCCTGGTGGACAGTGGCCCGATGGGGAGACGCACCGGTTTCTCTTGTGTGTGGAGGTTCCCAGGGCCTGCCAGACCCAGGGGCTGTGTGCCTTCCCCACTGGAGCAGGGCAGCCCTTCGGCCTCCCCTTTCCTCTGCCACCCACCACTCCAAGGACATCCTGCATCATCTCAGGCAAGTGACTGCCTAGCTGAGCCTCATCCTCTCCCACTGGTCAAAGGGGAGACTGATTCCTCCAGTAGATTCAAAACTATAGTCGCCCCTCGCCGCTTCGCGCTTTGACGTTCGCGGCTTCACTCCATCGCGCTTTTTTCAAATAGTATGCCATATTTTACTTACTTAATTTATTTATTTTTTATCCTCACCCAAGGACATTTTTCCATTTTTTGTTCAGATAGAGTGGGAGGGGGGGAGAGGGAGAGAGAGAGAGAGAGAGAAACATCGACGTGAAAGGGACACATCGAGTGGCTGCCACCCGCACGACCAACCAGGGCCGGGGACAAACTGCAACCGAGGTACGTGCCCTTAGCGGGAACCGAACCCGGGTCTCTCCGGACCGCAGGCGGACGCTCTAACCGCTGAGCCAAACCAGCCAGGGCAGTATACCATATTTTTTAAAAACCGCGATAGAGTGAAGCCGGAACGTCAAAGCGCGAAGTGGCGAGGGAGGACTGTGTATAAATAACCCTACTTCGCGGAAATTCATTTATCGCGGTAGAGTCTGGAACTGACTAACCGCGATAAATGAGGGCCGACCGTATAGCTAGGAGGGTGCCTGGGGCTCCTCAGGGCACAGGCACCCTTACTTTGCAGCGGTGCTCATGGAACAGAGGGGACACTGAGGCTGGAAGGCAGGAGTGATGCTCGCGCTGCAGAGAGGGGTAGCCCTATTTGCTTCTAAAAGACAAAGCAGCTGAGGTGAGTGGCAGACTGTCAACAGGTGTCTGGTCCAGTATCCTAGAAGGTCTTTGCCCTTTATTTGTGGAGTCTGGATACAGGCTGGAATAACCCAGACATCTCTTAGACCAGTGGTCCCCCACTAAGGCCATGTTGTCCCCAGGGGACATCTGGCACAGTCTGAAGATATTTTTGGCTGTCACTACTGGGGGGCTATTCCTGGCATCTAGTAGAGGCCAGGGATGCCACTGAACATCTTGCAATGCACAGGACAGCTCCTCACAATAATTATTCCACCCAAAATGTCAGTAGTGCCAAGGAGGAGAAACCTCTGCGTTAGACACACAGATGTGCTTCGTAGCAGTGAGTGCACTTGAAGGGGCCCCAGCATCTGGAGAGCTGGTTCTGGTCCAGCCTTTGCATCTGACTTGCTCTGTATTCTTAAGCAAGTCCTTTCCTCCAGGCCTCAGTCTCATCTGCGAAGCGAGGGACCCATACTGGATGACATCTGAGATCCCTTGCTCCACTCTGTGTGATTCTGTTTCAAGTGAATAGTGCTGTGGCTTCCAAATGACCTCTGCAGCCCACCCCTTCCACCTTGGCTTTGCAGGGCTCCCAGAGACCAGGACGGACGCAGCCATGTCAGAGCTGGTGCCCGAGCCCAGGCCTAAGCCGGCAGTGCCCATGAAACCCGTCAGCATCAACTCCAACCTGCTGGGCTACATTGGCATCGACACCATCATCGAACAGATGCGTAAGAAGACCATGAAGACTGGGTTCGACTTTAACATCATGGTTGTTGGTATGGAAGGCCGTGGGGTCACTGGAGGCCCTGGTGGTGGGCAGTACTGAGGATCCCGTTTCTCTCCCAAGGATGATCTCAATCCTGGCTTCTCTAGGATGAGCTCTTTCCTGGAGGGAAATTTTAATTGACCCTCTTTTCCCCTTAAGACTCGCTGGTCCAGGATGGGAGCCATGAGTGGATGGTCAGTCTGGCCCCATCACCAGCTAGGTGTACATGGACAGCCTGTAGCCACTCTCAGCCTGCTTTTAGGTGTGTGGCATGGGGGACTCATCAGTGTCCTTCCCCACCTTCGAGAGCTGGGGCGAGGATCGGATGGAGGGTGGTCTTATTTCTGAATGTTTGTAGTGCTTTAAAGCTTAGGGAGACTTTTTAGGACACTGATTGGTCACTACGTAGTGTCACCAGCTCACAGAATGATCTCAGTGAGGTATTCAGTCAGTTGCTGGAACAGGGACCTGGGCATCGTTTCTTCTTCCTTTATGTCCTGACCCAATCAATCAAGTCCTGTCAGTTTACTTGTACATATCTCTCAAGTCTGTCTACTTCTCCCCATCTCCACTGCTACCCCCCTAGGCTGAGCCAGGTTTTTCACCTGGACGCCACGGCCACCTGACTCAGTGCTGCTCAAAGAAAAGGAGCTGGGCCAGAGTGCAGACCATCTGGAAAATCTTGCTGTAAAAAACATCCGCTGTACTAAACAGCAACATAGTTGACTTACTTTCCGGTGCAAACTTCTTATTTCAATAACTAGTAACAAATGGTTCATGGACCGTGGCCACGAGCCACACTTTGAGTAGTATTGACCCTCCTTCTGTCTCCTTTCCTCTTCAATCCATTGCCTACCAGTGTCCGAATACTTTTCCAGCCTGCAAAACTCATCAGGCCACGCATCAGTGAGTGTACGAGTTCAAACTGCTGGTCTGGCCTGGTACTACCTCTCCACACATCTCTTGCCACCTCCCGTGTAGCATTGTACTCACAAGGGACAGTTCTCCTGGATGCTCTTGCCATACTCTTTTCTACCTCTGAGGCTTTGCATATGCTATTCCCTCTGTCTAGAAACCCCTTGCAGCTTCTCCTGGGTCATTTTGAAGTCACTCTTCAGCTTACAGCTTAGTGTTGCTTCTTCCTGGAAGTACTTCTTGATCCCAGAGAGTCTGGATTCGATTCCCTTCAGTCTGCTGTTACAGCACCCTGTGGTTCTCTCCTTTACAGTGATTAATGCAACCTGTTATAATTGTTTGCTTATGTTTCAGTCTCTCTCACGCTAAATGGGTCTCTGAGAGTAAGGATGATGTCTCACTTACCACTCTACCTCCAATTCTAGCACAGCACTTGACACTCAAGAATACTTAATGAATAAATGACCTTAGAAAACATCCAGAGCAAGAATGTCGTGTACAAAACAGGTGGGCCACTTCCGTCCCCAGCAGCACCGTGGCAGAGTCCTGGCACACGTGCAGTCTGAGCCCAGATGCAGCCTCTTTGACATGTCGGCCTCGGTGACTACTACCAGTTGATCAGTTGGGATGAGAAATGCACCTTATTTGCCATCCCCGGTCTCATTCAGTCCCTTCCTTCCCTCCATGTTATCAGTAAAGAAACCGAGGGGAAGTGCACCCATTCCTCGGTGTTCAGGGAAACAGCCCGGCTGGTGTAGACTCTAGGACCTCAGGCTCTTCCTGGACCTTTTTCTAATCTACCATAGGAATGCTCCGAATCAGCACTTCTGACTTTATGTCCATATGACTCACCCGGAAGTCCCGTTACAATGCAGATTCTGAACCATAGGGCTGGGGTGGGGCCTGGGACCCTGCGTTTCCTCCCAGCGTCCGGGCCATGCTGGTGCTGTCATCGGTGGCGGGGCTTACTGTGATTCTGTGCGTGTTAAAGTTTGAGAAGCACTGCTCAGACCGGTGGTTTCAAACGCCTTGTAGTTGTGTGACTCCTTTTTATTTACTGCTCGGATTGAACTCTGTAGCCTGGTCAATGGGCACCATCGTGAAGGAAGCAGAGGTGACCCTCTCACAGGGTCCTTTCAGATATCTCTCTCCACAAGGCACTAATCACTGCACTACGATAAAGAGTGGATGTTGGCCAAGAGGTGCCTTGGGTTCAAGTCCTGGTCTAGCATTTGAGTTATGCTACCTTGCACAAGGTTGATGTGAGATGGGAATCAGTCTCTCCAGGGCCCCTTCAACGGGGATTAAAGATAGCGCTGCTGGGGGAGTCACAGGGCTGATGGAAGGCACGTTTTGCTAACGGGTGAAAGTGCACACACAGTGAGTCTGTACCAGAGCGCAAAGTAATTCTGTCATGACGTAGGTAGTAGTGAAGACTAAAGACGTAAGCAGAAACAAAGCAACCACTACACAAATGCAGAGGCTGTGCGGTTTCCCCATGGTCCAGGGGCTCCAGGGAGGAGAGAGTGTGGATCTGACAGGTTGGCCCCAGTCCTTCTCCAACACACAGGAAACCATCCCCGCCTGCCTGCAGTCCCTGCTCAGCCCCGCCCTCCGCAGCGAGTGTCCAAACAAGGGCGTGGCCAGCTCCCGGATTCTGTAAGCTCCTGGGAGAGACTCAGGACGTGGATGTGGGGTCTCCCTGCCTTCTCATCCTCCTGTCTTGCTCAGGTCAGAGTGGACTGGGCAAGTCAACACTGGTCAACACGCTCTTCAAATCCCAAGTGAGCCGCAAGGCCTCCAGCTGGAATCGGGAGGAGAAGATCCCCAAGACAGTGGAGATCAAGGCTATTGGGCACGGTGAGGACCAGGCAGGGACCCTGTGGGATTGGTCAGGGGGGGCCTCTGCCAGAAAGGGGGAAGCATGGGGCTTACTGGGAAATGAGGCAAGTGAAAGGCCATCTCAGTACAGAATAGAATTAAGCCCTACACTCTGTGGAGCCAGCGCCTTAAACTGTAAGTCCAGAGGGGGCAGGAAGAGGGATTGGAAAGGAAAGAAACGGGACTTGAGCTGGACATTAAGGCCTGCGTGGGATGCAGACAGGCAGAAAGGAGTAGGGAGGTCATTCCAGGTGCAGGGAACAGCACGGACAGAGGTACTGAGGTAGGGAAGACCCTGGACTTGACTTTTCCAATAATTGGTCCTGAAGAAGGAAGGAGCCCGGGTCTCCCTGGCTGGGGGGCGGCAGGGCACCTGGCATCAGCTGGAAGAGTCAGCTCCCTGGTGTCTTTTTGTTCGTCCCCTAGTGATAGAGGAAGGTGGTGTCAAAATGAAGCTGACTGTCATCGACACCCCTGGCTTTGGAGACCAGATCAACAATGAAAATTGGTATGTGTCTGCCTGTGAGATTTCTGCCCTAAAGACCACACGGAAGGCGCTGAGTGCTGTACAGATTCATTCCTGTTGAGAGCCACCTGCGCCCTCCGTGCTGAGGCTTCGGGATCTCCCTGAAGGACGGGGCAGGTGTTTGTAAGAGGCGAGGGAAGAGGCCAGATGGGGGCCAGAGAGTTGCCTGGAGGTGGCAGTGGGGCAAGGCAGACAGAACGAGGGAACCTGGGGTGCAGATCCAGGCTGACCTGAAGACAGCAGCAGACAGCGTGGCCTGGGCAAAGGGAAGACGAGTGAGAAACAGGAGGGAGGGGAGTCGCCATGAGAGGAGAGTCTCGGGGACTCCACAGAGCAAAGCTGCAGTCAGCGAGCCTCCAAGAAGGGGGTGTATGCACTGCCCGGAACGTAGATGGAAGGTTCCAGGCAGAAGTTTGCTTTCAGATCGGGCTGGAGACCACAGTGCTTCAGTGAGGGAGCTGGGGCTGCTGCTGGCAGGCAGGGCCCCGAACAAGACAGCTAGCACAGCCTCGGAAAAGGGACTGGATGCCTCTTCTCTGGTTACATGCCTGCCCCTTGACAGAGAAAGGTAATAAGGGCAATGACAGTAGTCATGATAATGAATCGTTGCCATGACTGAGTACTTTCTGTGTGCTGTTGCTGTGCTAAGGACTGAGCATCTGTTCTTTCTGATCCTATGTGTGTCCCGCCGGATGCATCCCTACTCCCATTTTACTCATGAGAAAACTGAGCCTCAGAAAGGTGCAGAGCCTTCCCAGGGCCTCCCAGTAAGGGTGCTGGGGAAGGGGTGCGTTGCTTTCTGAGCACAGTGGAGCTCTGCAGGCTCCCACAGCCCGGCGAGGGGGCCAGGTCCCTGTGGGAGTCCCAGCCTTGCTAACGGGGATAGCCATCCATGAGGGGCCCAGAGACAATAGTCAACAGGTCCCCTCGACGACCCCCAGGGGAAGTAGGAAATGAGAAGGGTGTGAGGGGGCCATGCCTAAGATGAACTCCCAGGTCGTGTCCTTCTGGGACATCCGGCTGCTTTCTTCCCACCCCCAGCTGGGAGCCCATTGAGAAATACATCAATGAACAGTACGAGAAGTTCCTGAAGGAGGAGGTGAATATCGCCAGGAAGAAACGCATCCCTGACACTCGTGTCCACTGCTGCCTCTACTTCATCTCCCCGACGGGACACTCGTATGTACCAGTCCCACCCCCACGCTGGGGCCTGGCTCTGCTTTGCACCATCTGTGCCTATTCTGTGGTTGATAACCAGTACCCAGACTCAGCTGGGGAGAGCCAGAAGGGCCCCACTATAGTCATGGCCCTCTGACTCCCCAGACTTTCCCCAAGAATGTCTGGCTTCCTTAACAGGAGAGTAAAGCTTACCAGCATCGGCCCCCATGCTGCCCACTGGTGTTCTGGTACCATGGCATGATGGTGCCAGTAGAGAGAGGCTGGTATGTGTGAGCAGAGTCCCTATTTATTCCGTAGATACCTGCTTTGCACCAGGCTGGGCAGTAAGAAGGGTGAAATGGGGGCAGGGTTACTGGCTTGGGGCTGGTGTTTTGGGTGGAGATTGAGACCCAGCTGTAGATATTTGGACGATGGCCAGCCCAGCACAAGGTGTCTAGAAATGAAGCTGGCAACAAGCAGGGCATGCTGGGAACTCTGGCTGTGAGTGGCAGGCGGCTGCCTGAGAGGGAGTGAGGGCGGAGGACAGAGATCCACGTGGGCAAGCAGACAGCCGTCCTGTTGGGGGAGGTTCTCATAACTTACAACTATGCCCTGCTGCTGGGCTAGAATTCAGTTCTTGAGAGGTTGGCACAAGAAAGGCCGATACCAAATTTTGTCTTTTTTTTTTTTATTCCTCACCTGAGGATATTTTTCTGCTTATCAGATAGAGTAGGAGGGAGGGAGGGAGAGAGAGAGAGAGAGAGACAGAGAGAAACATCGATGTAATAGAGCCACATTGACTGGTTGCCTGCCGGGGACGAACCACAACCAAGATACATGCCCTTGACTGAAACTGAACCTGCAACTCATTGGTCTGTGGGCCGACACTCTAACTGCTGAGCCAAATCAGCCAGGGCTTGTCTTTAAAAAAAAATTTTTTTTCCTTTATTGATTTTAGAGAGCGAGGAAGTAGGAGGGAGAGATAGAAACATCAATGAGAGAGAACATCGATTGGCCACCTCCTGCATGCTCCCACTGGGGATCAGGCCCACAACCTGGGTATGTGCCCTGACCGGGAATCAAACCGGCGATCTCTTGGTGCATGGGTTGATGCTCAACCACTGAGTGACACTGGCCAGGCTTTTTTTCCCTCCAGATCCCAAATTTTGGAAGAATAGGGTACTCAGCGGGTATTTAATGGGGGTGGGGAGAGCCCAGGAATTCAATAAAATGGTTAGCTTTATCCCTCCTTAGAACCTGGACTCAAGGTCTGCAAGGCAGCAGGCAACCTGATTTAATAAGTGCCCCAGACTACAGATTGGAGCCAGATTGGGACCCCAGAGCCTGGAGGGAGCTGGGCAAAGCCCTACTTGGACCCCTGCGGGACTAATTGGAGCTGGGAGGAGGCCGTCAGAACATGATACATAAAAGTAACCATGACACAGAGACAGATGGGGGCTGATACTTCATAGCTGTTCTAGGTCAGAAAAGGTGGTTTGACTGGGGCTTAGGGGCAGGATCTGAGGAGAAGGGGAGATGGCGGACCGTGCGTGGGCAGAGTCAAGGCCTGTTCGGAAGATGTTGAGATGGTGGGTATGTGTCAGGAGAGACAGCAGCCTCTTGACCTCAGCCAGGTTCCCAGCCTAGTCCTCCTGTCCCACGGGTGGCCCTGGAGTGGTGGCAGTGGCTGAGTGGGAGAGGGCAAGGTGGCTCAGACACTGCCTTCTCTGGGCCCCAGCTTGCGACCTCTCGATCTGGAGTTCATGAAACACCTCAGCAAAGTTGTGAACATCATCCCCGTCATCGCCAAGGCTGACACCATGACCCTGGAGGAGAAGTCTGAGTTCAAGCAAAGGGTGAGAAGGCCCCTCCTCTTCCTGTCCCCATCCCGCCTCCCGCTCCTCTGGTCCAAGCCTCGCCTATCCTCTATTATTACACGCCCCCTTCCCACCGCCCCCTTCCCACCCAGCTCCTACTTAACCATTAAAGAGACTGGACTGGACCACTGGTGGAGAGGAGTTAGTGCATCCTCAGGCTTGCCTCCTTCCCACCCTCCAAACTGACCCCTAAAGACCACTGACTACGTGAATCATCACGAACATCAATCACCCCTCAACGTTAGGTGCTTGAGGGACTGATCGCTCAAGGCTCTCTAGTCCTTACTGGTGTCCTCTGTAAACTCCTGTACGCAAAGCCTGCAGGTGGGGAGGGGGCTGGGAAGTGTGAGACAAGGATGAAGACAGTCACTGCCTTTGAGTAGACCACTGAAGGGTCCTGGATAGCTTCCTGGAAGAGGTGGGACTTAAGCTTACTAAGCTTTGAAAGAGGGAAACAGAGAGGCTTGGGGTGGGGGGACTCATCTCTCTTCCCTGCAAACAGGAATATGACACATAACAGCATGAGCACTGCCCGTGTGAAATCAGTACTCAGCGGTGCTTGTCAAAATCTGAACTTGACAGACCCTGCGATGAGCAAGCTGCACCCCCAGGCTGTTCCTCATCTCAGGCTGGGCTCTGGTAATCGTACGACTGGGGTTCACAGTCATTCAGGATCATCCTGCTGCCCGGGGCCTCAGAGTTAGAGTCGTCTGTGAATTTTCAAGGCTGTGTTTATGCCTCTGACTTCAGTGAGCGTACACGCACCTCCCGTTATCCTGACACTTGGCTTCCTTGCTTCTCTTCCCGGCCTCTAGGTTCGCAAGGAGCTTGAAGCACACGGCATTGAGTTCTACCCACAGAAGGAATTTGATGAGGATTTGGAGGACAAGACGGAGAATGACAAAATCCGGGTGGGTGCCTGGGGCTCCGTTCATCCCACATGCCCCCCTTGGTACCTGTGGGATGTGTATCCCGTGCTGCTTCTGGCTTCCCCCCTGCTTTTCCCTTCCGTACTCCCTACTGCACCCTGCCTGACCCAGACCAGCAGTGACATGGGAGAGGGTGAGGACTAGGGGCTCCCGCCAGGATGGTGAACGCTGCACCCATAGCCGAGGCTCTCGTCCACCCCCAGACCACACAGGGATTGGCAAAGCTGGGGTGTGGGGTGTTGGAGGGCACCGGCAGGAAAACATTAGGCTGGGGTCCAAGGTACCTATGTGCTAGCAGAGCTCTGCCTCAGTTTCCCCTCCACAAAATGCAGAGGTCAGACTAGGTGAGTGGCTTATAGGTTGTTGTTTTTTTCCTGAAAGAACCTTTTAAGAAAATGAAATGTCAGACAGAACTCCAATATATAACACATGCAAACAGAGCTGCTTTGGCTGTGGCGTGGGCACAGAGCCTGGCCTTCTCGGCGGGCCCTGGGGTATCTCCCGGGAAACGGGGCTTCAGGGAACCTGGCTTGTAAACCTTCAGCTTGTGTGATTTCTAAGCTCCCTTTCGATTCTAAGCCTCTGCCACCTGGGATTCTACCTCAGAATCCCGAGTGCTAGTCTGGGCTCTTCTACTAACCCCTGTAACAAACCACTCCCTTGCTTTGGTCTTGGGTCTCCTCCGACAAGTATAGAATCCCCTCAGCTGATGCCGTGAGACCGGTGGTTGGTCAGTTCATTTTGAAACATTTTGAAATAATTATTTTACTAAATTTTTAAGTTAAAATAACTTAAAACATACACATCACATCCATTATACATCTTTTCATGTAGAGACAAGGCTTTTCTTGGAGATTACATTCACTCTTTGTGCAAAAGCAACTCATCTTTATCAAGTTCTTCAGAAACATTCAACTTAATTTTCAGAGAAACAGCTCTCTACCCTCATATGTCCTCAGCTTATATAATAGTGATTTTATCCAGTTATGACAACAAGCACATATCGTTTGAGCCCTGGCCGGTTTTGCTCAGTGGTTAGAGGTAGGCCCGCAGACCAAAGAGTCACGGGTTTGATTCCGGTCAAGGGCATGTTCCTCAGTTGCGGTTTGGTCCCGGGCCCTGGTCCGGGTCGTGCAGGAGGCTACCAGTCGATGTGTCTCTCTCACATCAATGTTTCTCTGTTTCTCTCTCTCTCTTTCCCCTCCTCCCTCCCTCCCACTCTATCTGAAGATAAATGGAAAAATATCCTCAGGTGAGGATTAAAAAAAATACGTTTGGGAGCAAACAGCTGGCTCTTGGTGAACATACAGCCCATGTGGTAGAGCCGAGGGGCCTACGCACGTCAGAAAGTGGCCTTCCGCTCGGGCAGGCTGGCGGGTGTGGGCCTCTGCCTGTAGGTTTCATGGGAGGCCGTGTAAAGCAGGTTATTTCGGCTGTCTGTTGGGTGGGTATCATTTAAAGGAGGTCTGTCTGTCCTGCTCGCTCACAGAGTTGTTCCAGATCAAACCAAATGTGGAAAGTGCTCTGAAAAGCCTGAAGCATTCTCCTATTGTGGGAAGGCGACTCACTGAGGCTGACCAGTGAGGCAGGGTGCAGTCAGGACTGGGGACTACCAGTCCAGTGCTCTTTAAAAGGCAAGAGCCTTGCCTTGGCCGGTTTGGCTCAGCGGTTAGAGCGTCAGCCTGTGGTCCAGAGAGACCTGGGTTTGGTTCCCACTAAGGGCACGTGCCTCGGTTGCAGTTAGTCCCCGGCCCTGGTTGGTTGTGAGGGTGGCAGCCACTAGATGTGTCCCTTTCACGTCGATGTTTCTCTCTCTCTCTCTCCCTCTCTCTCCCTTCCACTCTATCTGAACAAAAAATGAAAAAATGTCCTTGGGGGTGAGGATAAAAAAAAAAGACAAGAGCCTTGCCCTGGCTGGTTTGGCTCAGAGGTTAGAGTGTCAGCCTGCGGACCAGAGAGACCCGGGTTTGGTTTTCGCTAAGGGCACATACCTTGGTTGCGAATTCGTACCCGACCCTGGTTGGTGTTGTGCAGGAGGAGACCAGTCGATGTGTCCCTCTCAGGTCGATGTTTCTCTCTCTTTCCCTCTCTCTCCTTCTCCCTCCCACTCTATCTGAAGATAAATAGAAACATATCCTCAGGTGAGGATTAAAAGATTAAATGAAATAAAAAAATAAAAGACAAGACCCTTGCCCTTGCCATCAGTGGGATCATTGAATGAACCTCAGAAGGTTGGGGGGCCCAGGAGCGTATGCCCCCCTGCCCTTGGAGGCCCAGACTGTAGAGGGTGACGTGCACGTGTGTCTGGTTTGTCAGCAGGAGAGCATGCCCTTTGCTGTGGTGGGAAGTGACAAGGAATACCAAGTGAATGGCAAGCGGGTCCTCGGCAGAAAAACTCCCTGGGGGATCATTGAAGGTAATTCAATGTATCTTTTTGAAGAACTGGCTGCTGGCCAATTATGCTGATTTATTAAGTATGTCTAGGTCAAGGCACAGTCCTAGGATGTAAGATACAAAAAGAGTGCCAGGCAGACCCTGCCATAAGGGGCTTACAGTCTAATTGAGAAATGAGACTCCCAAAGCAGGAAGCAATAAAAGACCGATTTAGCACCTGTCTGGGAGGCCCCGACTCACATGTCAAAGGTCTTCAGAACATGGAGAGATTAATAAGGACTGGAAATGCCAGAGAAAGGTTTCCACATGAAAGGGAATGTGATGTGACAAATTGCTGAAGGGTTGTTCAGATGTTGCCATTTTCATTTTATTATGAATGGATGTGACCTTGAGAAGGTTATAATGACTGCAAGTTTTCAAAGAATTGCTTCAGTGATCTCATTCAATATGATAACCCTCTGAGGGGAGCAGGGTAGGTGTGACTTTCCAGGGCATCGGCTGCCAAGGCTCTGGAATCTCAGACAGGTTCCATGTCTTGCCCAGAATCACACAACTTGTTAGTGGTGACACTTGGATTTCAGACCTGGATATTTTGATTCTGAAACCAAGTTCATCCTATTGGATCATGTTGTCTCTCATTTCCCTATGATGTTTTGTTGAAAACATTTTAAAATTTTTGTGATTTTTTTGTTTGCTTTTATTGAATTTATTGGGGTGACATCATTGGTTAGTACAATTACATAGGTTTCAGGGGTACAATTCCATAATACATCATCTGTATATTGTATGTAATTTTTTTTATTTTTCTATCCTCACCCGAGGACATTTTTCCATTTTTTGTTCAGACAGAGTGGGAGGGAGAGAGAGGAAGAGAGAGAGAAACACCGATGTGAAAGGGACACATCGAGTGGCTGCCTCCTGCATGACCCAACCAGGGCTGGGAACAAACTGCAACTGAGGTACGTGCCCTTAGCGGGAACCAAACCCGGACCTCTCTGGACCACAGGCCGACGCTCTAACCACTGAGCAACCGGCCAGGGCTGTATGGAATTTTTTAATAGCATTTTTTTCATCATCTGCCTTGAATTGGAACTATTTATGAGAATGTCTGTCCTACCCATTAGATTGTGAGACTATGGGGTTCATGTCTTAATCCTCTTCTGCTCCCACAATCCTTGGCAAGTGATTTGCAAATAGTAGGCATTCAATGTATGTTGAATTAGATTTATCATGTAGTACATGACCTTTTTTAAGATGGCTCGATTGTTATTTTCTATGTGTTACTGTCTTCCAATCTGATTATAAGCTCCTTAAGGATAGGAATTGTGTCTTAGGCCTTGGGCAACTTTCTCCGACTCCCTGTGTATTCGTGGGGCATACAATAGTCTCTATGAGCTTAAGTTATTCCACAGAGTCTAGAATAGTATTGTGCCATTGTAGCTGCTTAATACATGTTCAAGGAGTAAAATCCAGTGCACTGGAGTGCCAAGATGCACAAAGCTCTGGACGGGTTGCAATCACCGGTCCTGGGGCTCTCGTAACTGCCTCCATGACCTGGACAGACGTGCACCTGCTAGGTGTTGCTGCATTAGTGAAATCACCACCTGTTTTGTTTTGTTCACAGTGGAAAATCTCAACCACTGTGAGTTTGCCCTGCTTCGAGACTTTGTCATCAGGTAAGATGAAACGCTGCCCTCAGATGGCAGGTTTAATGATTTGGGGTCAGGAGGCCATCTGTTCCGATCCACTGCCTCAGCCTTCAGGTCTCTTTGACGAGCTCTCTGCCCCAGTTCAGCTCCCGTCCTGAAGCACAAGGGGCTGCAGAAGTACCGTGGCTCTCTGGAGTCGGTCCCACTGTGGCCGGGCCATGGAAGGGAAGGGTTAACCTTGGATGTGGGTCACCTCTTCCTCCTCCCACCCCTAATAACATCCCTCTCTTTTCACCTGTGTCCCTCAGGACCCACCTCCAGGACCTCAAGGAAGTGACACACAACATCCACTATGAGACCTACAGGGCCAAGCGGCTCAATGACAATGGAGGCCTCCCTCCGGTGAGCGTGGACACAGAGGGAAGCCACGACAGTAATCCATGACGACCCTTTCTCTATATCATCACACATACCCACTTCTCCACACACACATCCCAAATACCACCACCAACCACCTTCTTCCTTTCTACTCTGTCCCACAGGCCTGTCTGATATTTGTGGAGCATCTTGTCTACAGAGTGTGTGTGTGTGTGTGTGTGTGTGTGTGTTTGAGAGGGAAAGAGAGAGTCTGTGTGTATGTGAGTGTGTATTCAGGGGTGAGGTATTTTCATTGCCCTCCCTGGAAAGTCCCTTGTAAGTTTGGTTTCTCCATGGCTGTCCATTATCTGTCTCCTTTCCTTGTGTCCCAGAACAAAACCGTGTGCCTCACTCAAGAGGTCTGGGGAGGTTTCACTTAAACAGGAGGGTGCAGGTGAGCCACAGGTAACTTTTTCTTATCTCTGAACCTGCCCACACACTGGGACTGCAGAGATTCTCTGAGGACAGGCTGCAGAGCCAGGGCTCGGAGGGGGCTAGGAGTTGAGACTTATCCCTCCCTGGAAGCCTGGGTGGTCTGGGGTAAAGCCAGGACTTCCTGGGAAAAGGAAGGTCAAGGGACAGCAGAGAAGTAGGCCAAGCTGGACACCTGCCGGAAGAATTAGTGCCTAGAAGTGGAGACGAGAGGTCCACCCTTCGGTCTGTGTTGCATTCACTGTCCCAAAGCTGCTGCCTGTCCCCGTCGCAGACTGCTGTTCTCCACACATCACTCGCCTCGTCTTCCATTTTCTCTTTTTCTCCTTTCCCTCATCTCTTCATCCTGCTCCTCCCTCACTTCTTTCATCTCCTTGTAGATTAATCCACTTTAGCTACATTTCTATATTTAGAATGTATGCCCAGCCTACTTCCAAAAATGACTTTAGGCCACCTTAAAATAAAATCATAGCTAAAAGCATGGGGTAGTACAAACTGGGACTATGAGAAAAGAGATCCACAGAGAGGAACGGGAAAGCGTTGGCACAGTCGCGCGAGACTGGCCCTGAGTGGGCAGCCTGGGCAAAGGAGGAGGCACAGCAAGTGATGTGCTTTCCGGTGTCTGGTTAAAGAAGCACGCAGGCTGGTCAAATGAAACACCCTTTTCAAGGCATTAAGTTCTAGAATAGCTGAGTCTAAAGAAGTATCAAGAACAATATAGAATATTTATCTTCCTTGGTAGTTTGCATCAGAGACATATTTTAAACGTCACTTCCTTGCTCTCCATTAGGATTCTTCCTCCTTAAAAGCTGGTTTCTCTGGTGCTCCCTTCTCATATGTACTCGACCCTCTCTTCCCTCCTCCTCTGTTCTCTCTCCCTTTAGTGCTGAAGCTAATTGCATTTTGTCTGTCTGTCTTTCTCTGCTGCTTTTCCCGTTCCCCCTCCTGACACCTGTAGACATTCCCAGCAACACCCATACATTTAGCCTTTTCTTGCCTTTCCCTTCAGCCTTGTATTTATTAATGCATATATATCCCATTTGTTTTACAAACAAGTTACTCTTTCTCCTTTAGTCAGTGAGGTGGCTAAAATTGGGGGCTAAGGAAACAATGTAGCCTTAGGCAAGGGAAAACACCAAGGGACACAGTTTACAGTGACCTCATACAACTTCCTGTTCCATGTCCTGGTCCAACCCTGGGGGTTTTACAGGTCCCCTGCAAATCCCAGCATTTATAGTCCCTTTTCACTCAGGTGCTAGGAAAACACAAAGACGTAAGACCAAGATTCAGTGCACCAGGGGGAAGAGGTGGGTGATAGATCTCTAATGACCCAACACCTAAGATCTTAATCTTTCCTGGAGGCTCTTCACAAATCCAACCCACATTCTCCCTTGCCCACAAAATTATTTCAGGGTAGGCACCTGTCAGGATAGAACAGCAGTAGGGATAGAGCCCAGAGGTTGCTATATTTCAACAAAAGAGGAATCAGTGGCTCATACATTGGGCAGTTCTGTATGGAGCTGTGGGACTAGACGCCTAAGGCCTAGCAGAGAAGACCGAGGGCTGAGGGTGGAGGGTATTGGAGAGGCTGAATAAGAGAATGATGCTTGGTGCCCCTAAACCATGATCTCAGCCTCCTTGGAGAAGCTGTTTTATATGTCTGGTGTCCACACCCTCAACTATTCTCAACCCCCTGCAGGGAGAAGGCCTCCTTCCACCCGTGCCAGCCACCCCCTGCCCCACTGCTGAATGAAGGCCATTTCAAGTGCTGCTTCTCCCTCCATTCCTCTCAGCTGTTATTGCTGCAGGGCCATGACCTTTAAGGGCTGTTTGTCCAGCCTACTTCTATAGCCCCCCTCCCCCCTCTGGCCCTCAGCAGGTGGGAGGGGCCAGCTGCTTTAGGACAGTCGCCTTCTCCATTTATCCAAACACCCCTCTCCTCCTGCTGGAATGGAGTTCTCGCCAGCATTGCCCTGCTCCATTGTCTGTCAGCTGGTCCCAGCCCATCTGTAGGGTGAAAGAACTCATCAAGAGCTTTTGCCCTGGCAAATCCATACCAGCTACTTGTAACCATCTCCAAGGGAAATGGCATTGCTCCCTGTCCATCTGCATGAGCTACTCTTGGCTTCCTTAAAGGGTCAAGAAAGCCACTTTTCTGCTTGTCAGATTCATTGATGTCAGCTATGTGAGCCCCGATGTGGGACAAGGGTGTCTCCTTCATTGCTTAAAGCTTATTTATAAGGATGGGTCACTACAGATGTTGGGGAGCAAGGGCTAGGATCTCTTCTTTAAAAATCATCACTTGTGGCTGGCCCAGAGTGCGGGTACACACCCTCCCCACCCCATAATGCAGCCACGTAGGAAGAATGGTTTTCCTGAAGAGACGTTTCTGGAGTTGACTTCCCCTATCCTCAATCTAAAAAAAAAAAAAAAGAAAAGAAAAAGAGAACTAAATACAGACAAAAGACTCCAGAACCCCATGAGATGTGAACCCTAGGAAGAAAAAACACACCCATCTGTCTACTTAGCAATAAAAGGGATCTCTTCCCACCTATATTGACTATTCCTACCCCTCAACCTGTTAATGTGAGTAATAAATTAGTCTGGCCACAGTTGGTCACTGTAGGCTAGTGGAAAATACCCAGTGGAGGGCAAAGGCCCTCATCAGATGCATGAATGTTTGCGAATGTCAGCTGCCACTGCCCCATGCACTGTCTTTATGGAATCTCTCCCTGCCCTCCCCTCCCCATCTCCACCTGGACACAACTTGCTCAAAGGCTGGTGACTTGTGGGCCATTCATCTACGACCACATCCTTATGGAGCAAGAGGCCCAAGCCTAGGGGATGCAAGAACGACCCATTTCTTAAATGTTACCAGTCCCAGCCAACCTTTTGGTGACATTATGGTTAAATTTCCCAATTGAAAACAAGCCAACAACACTAAAACCGGTTGTGTAAATGTTGCTAGACTTTATGTGTTGTACAACTAAACATTGCTGTTTGAACAATAACTGCCTGGCCTGTGTCTTATTTGTGCTCCTCATTCCTTGGTCAAATAAACATTACATCATCTCACCCATGTGTAGAGGGTAACTGGAACTGTCTTAGTAAGAAGTAGCCACAGAATTAGATAGAAAATGTTTTGTGAGGTCAGTTCATCTTTAGTTGGCATGAAGTTGGACCCCAATCATTATTCCCTGGGATTTTTTATCCAAAATGAGTGATGAAGTTAGCACACTTGATCTTGAGGGAGGTTTTGCATAGCCTGTTTCCTTCAATGAAAACTATATTTATTTTCATTCAGCTTATTTTATTAGCTCCCCCACCCCCTTTCTCCCGGAGGCATAAAAACCAATTCTATCAAAGGAGTGAACCCATCTTGCCTAGAGACCTTCCTACTTTACAATGAATACTTTAAGAGTTAAGAATTTGTGCCCTGGCCAGTTTTCTCAGTGGTTAGAGCGTTGGCCTGCAGTCCAGAGAGACCCGGGTTCAGTTCCCGCTAAGGGCATGTACCTTGGTTGTGATTTGTCCCTGGCCCTGGTTGGGTTGTGTGGGTGGCAGCCACTCGATGTGTCCCTTTCACGTCGATGTTTCTCTTTCCCTCCCACTCTATCTGAACAAAAAATGGAAAGGTGTCCTCGGGTGAGGATAAAAAAACAAACAAACAAAAAGAATTTTCCCTGGCCGGTTTGTGTCAATGGTTAGAGCATTGGCCTGTGGACTAGTGAGTCATAGGTTTGATTCCGGTCAAGGGCATGTACCTTGGTTGCAGTTCATCCCCGGCCCTGGTCAGGGTCACGCAGGAGGCAACCAGTTGATGTGTCTCTCACATCAATGTCTCTCTCTCTCTCCCTCCCTTCCTCCCTCCCACTTTATCTGAACAAAAGTGGAAAAGTATTCTCGGATTTTAAAAAAAGTTAAGAATTTAAGAGGTAAAGCACTAGCTTGCCTCTTTTTTCTAAAACCTATCCTACCTCTCTTGGAGGTTTATCCTCTCTTCTGTAGCCAGCAAATAACACAACTCTCACCTGTATATTATTTCTCTAAATTTGAATGTGATAAGTCCATACATATGATTATGTTTGAGGCCTCAATAATCTGTAGGGTGAGTGCAAGGTATAGATGAACAATGAGGGGTCAAGACTGGTGAAGACAAGTCAGGAGGTTCTTGGGAGTCATTTAAGTAAAATGATAAGGGCCAGAACTAGAGTGCAACGCCACAACCGGATGGAGATATGAAGCTTTGAGTAACAGCGTTTTTTTTTTTTTTTAACTTGATAGCTCTAGAAGAAACCTAAGAGTTCTTCTAGTCCAATGCCTTTATACACATATGGAAATCAAAGTCCAGAGAGCATAATCATCTTGCCTAAAGTTACACACTTAAGTACCAACGCAAGACGAAGACTAGATATCAATTATTGTTCCACTGCTTTACACCATTCCTATTGTACTTCATTTGTTCTAACTGTCTTGTACTTAAAAATATATATATATATAAGGACACAGTTTACAACTGATGACATGTTAGTTTATTTGGCAACATTTTTTTCTTAGTGGTATATTTAAAAATGGTGCACCTTCTAACTGACAGCATCTTAAGTTTGATGAAATACAGTAATCCAGATGTTAACGTCCTTTCTCTTTGAAGCCCACCGATGCTATCTGTGAAGTTTAAAGGAAACAAGAATATGTACAACAGTTTAGTCTTCAAAGCAATTCTGGTATGATGTATCCCACCTGATCTTTACAATCTCCCTTTGGAGGTGGTCGGGCAGGTACGATGAATGACACAGGCTCTCTCCACCTTGGAGCAGGCACGAACTCCCCTTTGAGTTCCTGACCCAGCTCACCCATCCTGTTCTGTAAGCCACGTCGCAAGAATCTGGCTCTGATTCCAGGTTTTCTCTGGTGGGAAAAAGTTTTCACCTTAGAATTGACGAATCATTCTGGATTCTTTCTCCAAAGGGCAGAAGCTTCTTGACCCAGGTCAGAGAGGACTCAGGAAACTCTTTTTAACTGGTTCCTGATTAAGACGAGTTCAAGTGCATGCTAATGATGCACTGCAGGCTGGTGGAGGTCCTGAAGGCCCCTCACCGATCACTCATCCCTCCTCGCCCTGGGGGCGGAGTCAACTACCTGGACCCGCCCCCTCCCCAAGTCAGGAGGTGTCTCAACTGTGACCCCACCTGGTCCTCGGCCCACTGCCGCTTGCGTAGCCAGCTGCCTTGCCTGCTCATTCCTTGTCTTTGCGCAATAATCTCCACCCTCCTTTAGAGCCCCGCCCCACGGCATGGTGCAGGCCACGCCCCTTCCCATCTGAGGGGCGGCAGGAGGGGCCAGGAGCAAGATGGCGATGAACCAGAGCCACACCGAAGACCGCCGAGGGGCCATCATCCCTGTTGGCGAGAGGTGCCTGAGGGGAAGCCCGGGGTGTTGGTTGTCAGAGGAGGGAGGAGACAGACTGGGTAGAACTGGCGGCCTGCGAATTCTCAGCGAATCAGGGGTTTCCCCGCCTTTTCCGCGCTCCTTGCTCAGCTCCGCCTCCGACGTTCGCGCATGTGCGCCGCGCACGCCTGTTGCGCGCTGTGGAGGTGGCGGGAGCCGGAGCGTGTGGCCCCGCAGGTGTGAGGTGCAGCGCGCCTCCCGGTGAGTGAGGGCGGGCAGTTAGCGCCTGGAGAGAGGGGCACGTCGCCCCAGAACGAACGTGAGAGCGCCCTGGCGGTGGCGGGGAGTCGCACCGTCCCCGCGGGTGGCGTGGCGCTGCCGAGGGGCGGGGGCTTGCGACCTTTGTAGGGTGACGGCCGTGGCCGCGCTTCCTCCTCCGGCTCCGGGGAACAAGGCCGCAGACTTGAGGCGGAAGAGGCACGTGCGTGGAAAATCATAGAAAGATCCCAAACTGCCGGGGGCCTCTCCTGCCCCCAGAACTCCCCAAAGCCCCGTTCTTTTTGGCCCCAGCCCGGGAGAAGCTTGTCCTTTATGGAGAAGATGGGGACCCCAAAGGAAGAGGCGCCTGGGGAGAATGGCGCCCCCTCGGCCTCGCGGGCGCTTTGGGGTTTGCCCGGAGGCGGAGGCGCAGCGCGATGCCTGCAGTGTCGCCCGCCCTTCTCTGGCCGCTCTCAGGCTCGGTCTGGAGGGAGTTGGTTTTCGCCTCCCCACCTCATGCTTCGACTTCGACTTCCCTCCCCTACCTCCCCGGCCCCCAGTTTCTCAGAGTCCTTGTAGCTCCCTGCCGAGCTCCTCTTAATCATGCTCCTTTCTGCTGCCATTGCCCTCGTTTTCCTTTGTGGCCGCCTGGCCGTGTGGCCCTGAAACCCAGGGCTGTGCTCAGGTGAGGCCGAGCGCGCCTGCGGGCTTGGAATGCGTTTGTCGGGAGGATCCACTGACACAGTTCCAGATGCTGATGTCCTGATCTTTTTTGTATGCTTCCTTCCCCCTACTATTTACTTGACAGATTTACACGGGCCGCCAAGGCTATGCAGCCTCCCTTGTTCCCAAGGGCTCCTGCTCTTTCTTCTTTTTTTTGTTTTTTAAATTTATTTTGTTATTCCTCACCCGAGGATATTTTTCCATTTCTCAGCAGAGAGGGACGGCCAGGGCTATTTTCATAGTCTTTTAAAAAGACCTTTTTTTTAATCCACTCACCACCACTCTAGTTCAGTTTTTATTATCTCACATCAGGACTATTTTTGGAACTCTTTTTTTATCCTTACCAAGGATACTTTTTCGGTTTTTGTTCAGATAGAGTGGGAGGGAGAGAGAGGAAGAGACAGAGAGAGAAACATCAACGTGAAAGGGACACATCAAGTGGCTGCCACCCACACGACCCAACCAGTGCAAACTGCAACCAAGGTACATGCCCTTAGTGGGAACCGAACCGGGTCTCTCTGGACCCCGGGCCAACGCTCTAACCCCTGAGCCAAACCGGCCAGGGCTATTTTTGGAACTCTTAAACTAGCTCCTGGATAAACCACCACATCCTTGACTATGTGACTACCTGGCTGAGACAGCTGCAGCTCACAGTCTCTCCTTGCCTATCAAATGATACCTCCAAGCTCTAGTGCCAGCAAGGCTTTCTACCGTTATCTCACTATTCCTCCCAATCTTACTTCCACACTGTTGTTTAATTTATTATTATTATTTTTTTATCCTTACCCGAGGACATTTTTCCTTTTTTTTTTAAATCCTCACCTGAGGACATTTTTCCACTTTTTGTTCAGATAGAGTGGGAGGGAGAGAGAGGAACAGAGAGAGAGAGAGAGAGAGAAACATCGACGTGAAAGGGACACATTGAGTGGCTGCCACCCACATGACTAACTGGGGCCAGGGATAAACTGCAACCAAGGTACATGCCCTTAGCGGGAACCAAACCTGGGTCTCTCTGGACCACAGGCTGACGCTCTAACCGCTGAGTCAAACTGGCCAGGGCCACACTGTTGTTTAATTTATATTATTTTTTAAAATATACTTTTATTGACTCTTTAAAAGAGAGATAGGAACATCAATGTGAGAGAAAAACATCAATTGGCTGCCTCCTGCATGCCTCCTACTGGGGATCAAGCCCTTAACCCGGGCATGTGCCCTGACTGGGAATCAAAGGGGAACCTCCACACCAGCCGGGCAACTACCGTGGCCAGTTTTGCTCAGCGGTTAGAGTGTTGGCCTGCAGACCGGAGAGTCCCGGGTTCAGTTCCCACTAAGGGCATATGCCTTGGTTGTAGTTTGTCCCTGGCCCCTGTTGGGGTTGTGTGGGTGGCAACCAGTCGATGTGTTTCTCTTACATCGGTGTTTCTCTCTCTCTCGCCCCCTCTCTCCCTCCGGCTCTATCTGAAGATAAATGCAAAAAATGTCTTCGGGTGAGGATTTAAAAAAAGAAATAAAGAAAGAAAAATACAGTAATAGGACTCTATGAGTAAGAGTAGGATAAATCCTTTAGGTTAAGAATGAGGGGAGACTATGGAAGGCAGAGAGAGCAACATGTCGGAAAATTCTGGAGCATTCTACTACATGCCTTACCTTCTGTAACTTAATTTCTATTAGCACAGTGCTTAATAATTACTGCACAAGAAGTTTAAGAATTAATGAATAGACTTCTGGTCAAGATGGTGGTGTAAGTAAACGTGATATCATGTGCTCCCACAACCACATCAAAGTTACAACTAAACTACAGAACAACCATCATTCAGAAACCACCTGACATCAAGCTGAATGGAAGTCCTACAACTATGGAATTAAAGAAGCAGCCAAATCGAGACTGGTAGGAGGTGCGGAGGCGCAGACGGGCTGGTCCCACACCCACGTGTGGCAGATAAAAATCAGGAGGACACCTCAGCAGGGAAGGTCCTCCCTGAGGACTGAGGGGTCCCTGTCCCACACCAGGAAGCCCACTCAGGGTTCCATTGCCAGGAAGACAATCCCCATAACTTTTGGCTGGAAAAACCAGCGGGAACTGAGGCTCAGGGAGGCTGAGGTGGCTGGAGCCCCAGGCAGCTCCTCTTAAAGGGCCCGCACACGGACTTATCGGACTTATTCCCTCTCAGCTTGGAGGGGCGCCAGAGACATACAGAGAAGAACTGAACAGTTTGGCACTGGAGCGAGGGCTGGAGAGAGGGCTTTCTCCAGGAGAGACGTGCTGTCAGAGGCCTTTGTTCCTTTGGTGAGCCCTTCCCTGGGGTGGCAGACAGCAGCCATATCTGGGACTCCAGCAACCTGGCTCACACTGGTCGCCCCACCCTGGTGATTCCCTGAGGCCCCACCCCACCCAACTTTCAGGCCCACCCAAGCTGTTGCCAGTTGGTTAACTATAGGATTGGCCTGTCTCAGATCCTGTTTCAGATTTTCCTAAATTCTTTCAAACAAGCAGCAAATTCTTTCAAACAAGCAGCATCTGATCTTAGCCCCATACCTCTCGTTAAGTAATACACAGAAACAAACACAGGGAGGCAGCCATAATGAGGAGACAAAGAAACAGGTCCCAAATGAAAGAACAGAACAAAACCCCAGGAAAAGAACTAAGTGAAGTGGAGATAAGCAACCTAACAGATGCTGAGTTCAAAACACTGCTTATAAGGATGCTCAACGGACTTAGTGAGAACCTCAGTGAACTTAGTGAGGGCCTCAAGAGCATAAAAAAGGACCAGTCAGAAATGAAGGATGCACAGTCAGAAATGAAGAAAGCACTAAGTGAAATAAAGAATAATTTACACAGATTCAGTAGTAGAGTAGGTAAAGCCAAGAAGCAAACCATAAACTTGGAATATAAGGAAGCAAAAAACACCCAATCAGAACAGCAAAAAGAGAAAAGAATTTTAAAAAATGAGGATAGTGTAAGGAGCCTCTGGGACAACTTCAAGCGTGCCAACATTCGCATCTTGGGGTGCCAGAAGGAGAAGAGAGAGAACAAGAAATCGAAAACCTGTTTGAAACAGCAAGAGAAAAGCATTTAGTTACCTACAAAGGAGTTCCCATAAGACTGTCAGCTGATTCCTCAAAAGAAACTTTGCAGGCCAGAAGGGAGTAGCAAGAAATATCAGAGTGATGAAACATAAGAACCTACAACCAAGATTATTCTATCCTGCAGAGCTGTCATTTAGAATCGATGGCCATATAAAGAGTTTCCCAGACAAAGAAAAGCTAAAGGAGTTCATCACCACCAAACCATTATTATATGAAATGTTGAAGGGTCTTCTTGAAGAAAAAGATAAAAAATATGAACAAACAAAATGGCAATGAATATTTATCGACAATTGAATCTGCAAATAAAATGAACAAGCAGAACAGAAACATTCTCATAGATACAGAGAACATTTTGTTGGTTGCCAGATGGGAGGGGGTTTGGGGGAATGGGTGCAAAAGGTGAAGGGATTAAGAAGTACGAATTGGTTGCTAGACTGACAAATCTCAAAGGGAAGGGGGTGGGAAGAAATAATCCAAAGAATTTATATGCATATATGCATAACCAATGGACAGACAACAGTGTGGGGAAAGGTAGGAGGGGGACGGGAGTGGGAAGGAGGGGGTCAGTGGGGGAAAAATGAGGAACATCTGTAATACATTCAACAATAAAGATAAAAAGAATTAATGAATAAACAGTAAGAATACAAGTAGCTTTATAAGTAAAAGATTGCTGCCCTGGCCGGTTTGGCTCAGCGGTTAGAGCATTGGCCTGCGGTCCTGAGAGACCCAGGTTCGGTTCCCGCTAAGGGCATGTGCCTCAGCTGCAGTTTGTTCCTGGCCGTAGCTGGGTCGTGTGGGTGGCAACCACTCGACGTGTCCCTTTCATGTCAATGTTTCTCTCTCTCTCTTCCTCCCACTCTATTTGAACAAAAGGTGGAAAGAATGTCCTCTCATGTCGATGTGTCCCTTTCATGTCGATGTTTCTCTCTCTTCCTCCCACTCTATTTGAACAAAAGGTGGAAAGAATGTCCTCTCATGTCGATGTTTCTCATGTCGATGTTTCTCATGTCGATGTTTCTCTCTCTCTCTCCCTCCCACTCTATTTGAACAAAAGGTGGAAAGAATGTTGCCAATTTGATTTTCAGTCAAGGCACATACCTAGGTTGTGGCCATCTATCCCCGTTTGGGGGCGTGCAGGAGGCAGCCCATTGAGGTTTCGCTCTCACATTGATGTTTCTCTCTCTTGCTCTCCCCTTCTCTCTCTAAATATCAATTTTTAAAAATATCTTTTAAAAAAAGATACAAGTTTTCTGACTGATTTTATTTTATTTATTTCCTTTTTAATTTGAGAGAGAGAGGAAGTGAGGAGAGAGAGATAGAAACATCGATGAGAGAGAACATTGATTGACCACCTGAGGAGAGAGAGATAGAAACATCGATGAGAGAGAACATTGATTGACCACCTCCTGCATGTTCCCCACTGGGGTTGGGCCCACAACATGGGCTTGTGACCTGACCGGGAATCATACTGGCGAACTCTTGGTGCATGGGTCAATGCTCAACCACTGAGCCATACTGGCCGGACTTTTTTTTTTTTTTAAATAAATACAATAGAAATTTAAAATAAGGTAAAAAAGAGAAATGCAGTACTTGCCTCCTCCCACAACCACATCAAAATTACAACTAAACTACAGATCCAAAATTGAGCCACATTAAGACTGGTAAGAGGGGCGGAGGTGCAGACAGACTGGTCACACACCCACGTGTGAAGGATAAATATCAGGAGGGTTACCTTGGCTAGGACCCCCTGAGGAGCAATGGGTCCCCGTCCCACATCAGATACCCCAGCTTAGGGTTCCAGTACCAGAGAGAGAAGTCCCATAACTTCTGGCTATAAAAACCAGCGGGAATTGAGGCTGAGGGAAGCTGAGTCAGCTGTAGTCTCAGGCAGTTCCTCTTAAAGGGCCTGCTCACGGACATACCGGTAAGAACTGAGTTGTTTAGCATTGGGATGAGAGCTAGAGAGGCAGCTTTCTCTTGGAGAGACATGCTGGTGGAGGCCATTGTTTCTTTGTTGAGTCCTTCCTCCACAGGGCAGTCAGATGCCATATCTAGGACTCCAACAACCTGGCTTGCACTATTTGCCCCACCCTGGAGATTCCCTGAGGCCCTGCCCTACCCAACTTTCAGGCCCACCCAAGCTGTTTCCAGTGGCTTTACCATAGGATTGGCCTGTCTTGGCTCTTGCTTCATGTTTTCCTAGTCTCTCAAATAGTACCTACTTCAGTGAGCTCCATAACTCCAGCTAACTGGCTTGAGGCCTGGCACTAGAAGCAGCCAGCCTTGGTTCACAGCTTGGCTTTGTCTGGGCTATTCCAAGCCTAGCACAAGAAGCAGCTATCTGTAGATTGCTTTGTAGCTTATGCCTGGTGGTCCCAGGAAGAACACAGGCAGAGGCTGACCTTGCCCCAGAGCCAGCACACCCAGTGGTAAGCTTCAGACCACATCAAAGCACCACCACCCAAACACCTCCACAAGCAACATACTCAAGGAGTAGATTCAGTGAATACCAGAGCCCTGCTTAAGTAAGTCTTGCTCTGTGTGGTGGGCTCTGCACAGCTGATCCTCCAAGAGTCAGTGGTCAGTGGGCACAGCCAGTCCTTATAGCTGATTAGCCTGAGTAAATCCCTCCCATTGACATGCCAGCAGCAGTCAAGATTCAATTACAAACAGAAGGGTGTACCTCGAGGGCCCAGCTGAGGTGACCAGGGAGGCTGTGCCATTGGACCCTACAGGACACCTACTACAATAGGCTACCCTGGGAAGCCTAGGAGACATAGCAACTCTACTTAATATAGAAACAAAAACAGGGAGGCAGTCAAAATGAGGAGACAAAGAACATGTCCCAAATGAAAGATCAGAAAGAAACTCCAGGAAAAGAACTAACCGAAATGGAAATAAGCAACCTAACAGATGCAGAGTTCAAAACACTAGTTATAAGGATGTTTAATGAACTTAATGAGAATTTCAAGTAACTTAGTAAAAAAGGACCAGTCAGAAATTATGCACTAACTGAAATAAAGAATAATTGACATGGCCCTGGCCAGTTTGGCTCAGCGGTTAGAGCGTCGGCCTGTGGTCCGGAGAGACCCGGGTTCGGTTCCCGCTAAGGGCACATACTTCGGTTGCAGTTTGTCCCCGGCCCTGGTTGGTCGTGCGGGTGGCAGCCACTCGATGTGTCCCTTTCACGTCGATGTTTCTCTCTCTCTCTCTCCCTTCCTCTCTCTCCCTCCCACTCTATCTGTACAAAAAATGGAAAAATATCCTCGGGTGAGGATAAAAAAAATAAAATAAAAAAATAATTGACATGGAATCAATAGTAGAGTAGGTGAAGGTAAGAAGCAAACCATCGATTTAGAATATAAGGAAGAAAAAACACCCAATCAGAACAAAGAATACAAAAAAATGAGGACAGTGCAAAGAGCCTCTGGGACAATTTCAACTGTACCAACATTGTCATCATGGGGGTGCCAGAAGAAGAGAGAGAGCAAGAAATTGAAAACGTATTTGAAAAAATAATGACTGAAAGACGTCCTTAACTCGGTCAACGAAACAGACATAAAAGTCTAGGAAGCACAGAGTCCCAAACAAGATGAACCCAAAGAGGGCCACACCAAGACACATCATTATCAAAATGCAAAAGGTTAAAGACAAAGAATCTTAAAAGCAGAAAGACAAAAGCATTTAGTTACCTACAAGGGAACTCTCAAGACTGTCAGCTGATTTTTCAAAAGAAACTTTTCAGGCTAGAAAGCAGTGGCAAGAGATATTCAAAGTGATGAACAACTACAACTTACAACCAAGATAAATTTGTAAAGCTATCATTTAGAATCAATGGACATATAAAGAGTTTCTCAGACTAGAAAAAGACAAAGGAATTCATGACCACCAAACCAGTATTATATGAAATGTTGATGGGTCTTCTTGAAGAAGAAGGAGGAGGGAGAGGAGAAGAGCAATAAAATGGCAATGGATACATATCTATCAACAATTGACTCTATAAAGAAAATGAGAAAGCAGAACAGAAATCATAGATACAGAGAACTTTTTGACAGTTGCCAGATGGGAGGGGCTGGGGGGATGAAAAAGGTGAAGGAATTAAGAAGTACAAATTGTTTGTTAGACTGATGAACCTCAAAGGGAAGGGGAAGGGAGGGTGGGAAGAGATGAATTAAGGAACTTATATGCATAACCAATGTACACAGGCAATAGTGTGAGGAAGGCAGAAGGGAGGCGGGAGCTGGGAGGAGGGGTCAATGGGGGGAAAATGTATGTATAATACATTCAACAATAAAGATAAGTTTACAAAGAAAAATTTAAAAAAAAAAAAAAGAATCCAGAGATAAAGAGGGAGAAGAATAAATGTGAGTTGTCAGAGAATGAAATGGTTTAAATTCCTTTTATGTCAATAAAGGTAGTAGTAGTAGCAGCAGCTAACATTTATTGAGTGCTTGTCCAGGCTAGGAACTGTGTTAAGAGCTTTATGTTTGTCACTTTACGTAACTTCTAAATTGTGTGCTATCTGCGTTTTTTCTGTTCTGCAGTATTTTGAGTCAGTGTCAAGATGTGAACCTCTCCTTCCTACAGCAACCAAAGGAATCCAATTTCTTTAGTGGTACAAAGAGGGGAACATTGTTTCTCACTTCACACCGGGTAACTTCTATTGCTACTTCTGCTTTGATCTGATTAACTCTACATTTGTTTTCCTTGAAATGGAGAGAGTTTAACCATTGAGTTTCAAAGTACTTTAAAACATTTGCACTGAGATTTTTTATGTTGAAGAACGATGGAAGAAAATGGGTGATGCTTCTCAATTAGGCCAGGATGCCAAAGCAACTTTGATCTTAGAATTGCTTGCAACTTTGATCTTAGAATTGCTTTTTATGTCTTAACCCATGGACAAATTGCATTGCTTTTCCAAAGTTTCTTTCCTCTTAGGTGATCTTTGTGACTTCACGCTCAGTCAGTGATCCCATGTTTTCTTTCATGATGCCATTTGATCTGATGAGTAACTGCACCGTTGAACAACCAGTCTTTGCCCCCAACTACATTAAAGGAAACATTCAGGCAGCTCCAGATGGTAAGTGTTTACACTCAGAAGTGTATTTTTTTCTCAAAAGCTTCCAGAGGTTTAAGATTCCGACGTGACTCATGTTGGAATTCAGATGAAAGAAAGCTGCTCTGCTTCTTTGGGTAATGCTTCTGTCAGTGTTTGTGGTAGTCCTGCAGTTACCAGCTGTGCCAGCCTGCCTCTTAGTGAGTGTGTGCCATTTCTTCCCCCAGGTGGCTGGGAAGGAGAGGCTACTTTTAAATTAGCCTTCAGACACGGAGGTGCCATCCAATTTTTCTATTTGATGAAGAAAGCTGCCTTTGCTGGTGAGCAATAATGATAAAGCTATTAAGCACTTTGGGTTTTTGAGGCTTGGGGAATTGAAGTAGGACTGTTACCCAGTTAAGACTTTCTGGCCTCTGTGAATAGGCACTTGGTAGTTGCACATGTATTCAGCAAGCATTTCCTGAGCCTACCCACTATGTGCCAAGTACAATACTACCAGCTAGGAAAACAGTATTCAGTCCCTCCCTGTCTGGAGGGAGTTTGCAGTCTAGTAGGAGCTTACAATCAGATACCTGAATGACTGATTGTACCTGGTAATCTTTATGCTGGTCTCAGATATCAGTAAACTAGTCTCTCTCTCTTTTTTTGGTACGTGCCCCTAGCGGGAATAGAACCCAGGACTCTCTGGTTTGCAGGCCGACGCTCCAGCTGCTGAGCCAAACCAGCCAGGGCAGTAACTAGTCTCTTTTTCATGTTAGGAAGCCCCACTTGCCTTAGCTTTTATTCCCCTGACATGCGTTTTTGTCCTCCTTTTTTGTGGCTTTGCCTTTGTTCTCTTAGGCTTAGTCCCCATCTTTGAGGAGAGGAGGGAAGAGGTACTGTCAAGTCTTCTAGCACTGCTATAGTGGATGTAACAGAGAACTCTTTCAAATTTTGAATACAAATAACTTTAATGATATATTTTTATTCAGTCTAGCCTCACTTTATGCTCTTCACTCTCACCTTTTATACTCCAATCCAACTGGACTTCTGTGTGCCTTGTTCTCTCATCTCTGTGCCTTCATGATATGTCCTCTGTCTGGAATGCTCTTTCCCTTTCTCCCTTGCCTTCCACCCCAACTTCAAGCTGGTTGAGACTAACACAATCTAGTAGAGACAGACATATGCGAATATGTTATCTTATAGTATGTGCTGTAATAGAGACATGGACAAAGTGCTGGGACACACAGAAGGATGGAGTGACGTTTTTAGCTTAGAAGAGTGACTGAATCATGATGGTATAAACCATGGTCAAGAATATAAGAGACAGTCTAAGTTGGGCAGGAAATGAGTTTAATTTTAGACCTAGTAATACTAGCTAACATTTATTCAATGTTTACCATATACTGGAGTATTCCAAGTCCTTTACATGTGTCAATTTATTTAATGTTCACAAAAAACGTATAACGTAGTTACTAATTATCATCCCTGACTTATAGCTGGGGAAACCAAATCAGTAATGGTTACATAATTTCCTAAGGCTATACAGTTAGTAAGTGATGGAGCTGGACTTCGGACCCTAAACCCACTCTTTCTCTCTTATTAAAGATTTTATTTGGAAAAAAATTAATTTATTGAAAAGTTGCAAGAACTCCCTTAGACCTTTCCTCTAGATTCACCTACCCATTATTAACATTTTGCCACATTTGCTAATTCTTTTTTATTTTTACTTTTGTTGAACTATTTGGAAGTAAGTCACAAAGGTCATTTTCTTTATTACTTGATCCTAAGAACAAGGGGATTCTCTTATCTAGCCTCAGTGTACTTATAACATTCCGAAAATTTAACCTTGAAACGATATTATTTAATATATAGTTTATATTAAAATCTAAATGATTAGTCCATTACTGTTCCTAATTCTAATAACACTTTTTTTTCCAATGCAGGATCTAATCCTCAGACATTGAGTTTAGTTGTCTTATTTCTTCATTATCCTTTCATCTGGAATCAGCCTTTCCTTTTTTTTTTTTTTTTTTTTTTTTGAGTGGGAGGGAGGGAGACAGAGAGAGAAACGTCAATGTGAGAGAGACACATTGATTGACGCCTCTCCCACAAACTCAGCCGGAGTTGGGGATCAAACCTGCAACCGAGGTACGTGCCCTTGACTGGGAATCGAACCCTCAACTCTTTGGTCTGAGATCTGACTCTCTAACCACTGAGCAAAACCAGCCACGGCTGGACTCAGCCTTTTTTTGCCTGTTATGACACTAGAATTATAAAATGAGTATAGGTTTATTGTTTTGTAGAACGTCCCTAATTTGGGTTTGTCTGTTTCCTCATGATTATATTCAGATTATATTTTGGTAAGAATACTATATAAGGGATGTTGTGTTCTTTTGAGACTACATTCTTAACCCCTATGTAGGTGTGAGGTACTTGGGAATGCCAGAGGCTAGTGGACATACAGTTTGGAGCTCCAGAGATGAACCATATCTAGAGACTGATTTGGAAATCTTGAGCACACCAGTCATCTCTGGACCCATGTGATTGATGGGCTCATTCAATGAATTAAAGATGGTATTCCAGGGGTCCTGAACATTTAAGGAATGGGCAAGGAGGAATAACCTGTAATGAAGATTGGGAAGGGGCTGACTGAGAGGTAGGAGGAGAATCAAGTGAGATGGGCTTCCTTGAGGCCTTTGGAATTAGCTACCCATCCTACTTCATGATCTGATTTATTGACCAGGCAAGATTCCTTTCCTCTCTGCAGAGTGGATTTGTTAGGGCTGTTTGAGTTGTTTTTAACAAATATATATTGAATACTTACTGTATGCCAAATCCTAGGTGAGACAATTGGGAACACAACAGTGAATAAGACATACATAGGTCCCTGATTTTGTTTTGATTCCAGTCAAGGGCACGTATACCTCAGTTGCAGTTTGGTCCCTGGCCCTGGACAGGGTTGTGCGGGAGGTAACCAATCAATGTGTCTCTCTCGCATCAATGTTTCTCTCTGTCTCTCCCATTCTATCTGAAGATAAATGGAAAAATAACCTTAGGTAAGGATTAAAAAAAAAAAAGGCAAATATAGCCCAGCTGATGTGGTGATGTGGTTGAGTGGATTGAGCATCGTCCCATAGACTGAGAGATCCTGGTTTGATTCCCAGTCAGGGCACATCCAGGTTAAGGGCTCCATCCCTAATAGAGGGCATGCAAGAGGCAGCCGATCAATGTTTCTCATATCTATGTTTCTATCTGTTGCTTCTTTCCTCTCTCTCTAAAACAATCAATTTAAAAGAAAGCAAATATATAAGTGAATAAAATAATTACTTCTTTAGCAGGGCCAAAAGAGGAATCTGTTCCACATAGCCCTTCAAGGACCCAGGGTAATAGAGTCTATGCCATCTTAAATACATGGCTTTCATGGCCTCTTGGATAGCTGACAGAGAGAGGAAGAGAGTAGATCTTACCTGGGAAGTTTTCACGGGCCAGGCCTGGAAGTGATGTACATTACTTCTGCTCATAGTGTGATAGGCTTATAATGACTCTCAAATATATCCATGCTCTAGTCCTCAGAACCTGTGAATGTTACCTTATTTGTAAAAAGAAGTCTTTGAGGATATAATTAATTTAAAGATCTTGAGATGAAGAGACTACCCTCAATTATCTAGGTGGGCCCCAAATGTCATTACAAGTGTCCTCAGAAGAGAGATGCTGAGGGAGACAAACAGAAGTGCTTTCTGCTGTACCACACGGCCATTAAATTGGTTTTTAATGGATGTGTCTTGACAACTTGATAGAATTTCTCACTTGGAAATCTTTTCCGAGTACATATTATGGTAGGTCTTATGCTAGACCCTGAATAAACACAGGCAAATTAGCGACAATCTCTGCCCTCAAGAAGCTTAGAGTTCAGGACAAGGGCAGTGTATATCTTTTTATCTTGTATCCTGGAAACATTGTTGGAATCTCAGGTAAGGTGATAGTTAATACTCTGTTAATTTTTTGGTTGATAGCTGCTGCTATACATCTGACTTAAAAGAATTAAGAGTTCTTATTTTGCCAAATTTGTCTTCTCAGCTGCCCAAGGAGTTCCACTTCAAAGTATAAGTTACTGGATTGGTGCTCCAGGACTGTTTGTCATTAGTGGGCAGGGGAACACGATGTGCAACCGACAGATGCCTTATCCAGGTAAGGTATGGCAGGGAGGTTCTTCCTGGGGGGTGGAGAAGTATGGCAGGGACTTAAAGATACATTCACTGCTAGCTTGCCTCCAACTCTGCTGCAGGAGAAGTAACAGAGGTTTGGGGGTTGGAAAAATGGTTGAGTTCATGATTTCATTTCCAGACTGAAACCCAGTGGTAAGTTAGCAAGTTTCAGGCTTACTTTTAATTATAATATACAGATATGGAACATACTTGGGCAACTCCCATTAGTGGGAACAGTCACCTCCTGCTTGCAGCCTGAGCAGAAAATGTATGCTCTTGTTCACTTCCCCCTTCCCATTTCACACAAGCATAGCCATCAAGCTTGTACCATGACCTTCCACCTCACTAAGGACTCCAGCCCTGGGCTTTTTTTTTTTTTTTCCTTATCCTCACCCGAGGACATTTTTGCATTTATCTTCAGATAGAGTGGGAGGGAAAGAGGGAGGAAGAGTGAGAGAGAAACATCAATGTGAAAGAGACACATTGATTTGTTGCCACCTACACAATCCCAGCTGGGGCCAGGGACAAACTGCAACTGAGATATGTGCCCTTAGCGGGAACCAAACCCGGGCCTCTCTGGTCTGCGGGCTGACACTCTAACTGCTGAACCAAACTGGCCAGGGCCAGCCCTGGGCTTTATGCCCTGTGCCCTTTAAAAAGTGTGCCTGTTCACAGCTGCTGAGTCATATTCCTGGAGGTGATAGATCATTGACTCTAAAATACTGTCCACCACCTACTGGTAGGCCACAAAGAATCTCCTAAGAGGCTGCCAACAGATCCCAAATGTGGGCCCTTTCTTGGGTTCTTCTTGGAGCATGACATGTATGTCCACTGGCTTTTAGCTTTGTATACAACTGAAGGATACTTATTTGTAACCTTAATAGTAACCTTAGTTTTAAAAGGTTATTAAAATTAATACTTGCCCTGCCGTTGTGGCTAAGTGGATTGAGTGTCGTCCTATGGACTGAGAGGTCCTAGTTCAATTCCTGATCAGGGCACATGCCCAGGTTGCGGCTCAATCCTCAGGAGGGGATTGCAGGAGGCAGCTGATCAATGTTTCTATCTCGCTAAAAAAAAATCAATAAAAACATATTTTAAAAAATTAATACTCAAAATCTAAAAGTGTTGCTAAGGTTTTACAAAAAATTTATATTGAGTTGAAATTCACATAACATAAAAACAACTATTTAAAAATGTACAATTTGGTGGTATTTAGTATATTCACATGTGTTGCAACCAATCAGCTCTCTCTAGTTTAAAAATTTTTTATCATCCCATAAAACACCCCATAATTCCTTACTAAGTGATAATTCCCCACAAGTTTTCATTTTTCTTGGGTATCTATGTAGGATTGGAATTACTGGGCCATATCATAATTTAATGTTTCACTTTTTGAAGAACCACCAAACTGTTTTCCACAGCAACTGCACCAATTTATATTTCCACCAGCAATGTACAAGTTCCTATTTCTCCATATCCTTGCCAATACTTGTTGTTATCCTTTTTGTTCATATTAAAGACATCCTAGTGAGTGTAAGGTAGTATCTCATTGTGGGTTTTTTTTTATCCTCACCTAAGAACATTTTTGCATTTATCTTTAGATAGAGCGGGAGGGAGAGAGAGAGGAAGAGAGAGGAAAACATTGATGTGAGAGAGACACACTGATTGGTGTGACCCGCACAACCCCAATCGGGCTGGGGACAAAGTGCAACTGAGGTACGTGCCCTCAGCGGGAACTGAACCCGGGACTCTCTGGTCCGCAGGCTGAAGCTCCAACCGCTCAGCCAAACCGGCCAGGGCTCATTGTGGTTTTAATTTGCATTTCTTTAATGACGAATGATGTAAAATATGTTTTCATGTACTTGTTGGCCATTTATATATCTTCTTTGGAGACACATCTATCCAATTCCTTTGCCCATTTTTTTCCTTGGGTAGTTTATCATTTTGTTGTTGAGTTGAAAGAGTTCTTTATATATTCTCGATATTTATTATTATATATGGGATTTGCACATGTGTTTTCTTATTCTGTAGGTTGTCTTTCACATTCTTGTGTGTGTATGTGTGTGTGTGTGTGTGTGTGTGTGTGTGTATATAATTTTCCTTTATTGATTTTAGAGAGAAAGGAAGGGATAGGAAGAGAGATAGAGATATTAATGAGAGAGAATGTTGATTGGCTGCCTCCTGCATGCCCCTCACTGAGGATTGGGGCCCACAACCTGGGCATGTTCCCTGACTGGGAATCGAACTGGTGACTTGTTGGTGCTTGGGTCAATGCTCAACCACTGAGCCACACCAGCCGGGCAGCTTTCATATTCTTAATAATGTCCTTTGATGCACAAAAGTTTTAAATTTTTATTGAACTTACCTGTTTTTCCTCTCTTGTTGCTTATGATTTTGATATCAAATTTAAAGTCCATTGATGCCTGGCCAGTGTGACTCAGTTGGTTGTACCAGGAGGTTGCTAGTTCAATTACCAGTCAGGGCTCATGCCTGGGTTGAGGGCTTGATCCTGGTGGCGGGTGTGTGAGAGGCAGCCGATCAATGTTTCTCTCCCATTGATATTTCTGTTTCTCTCCTTCTCCCTTCCTCTGTCTCTAAATATATATATATATTTTTAAAGAGAATCCATTGCCAAGTCCAATGTCATGAAGATCTACTCCTACATTTTCATCTATGACCCTGGCTGGTTTGGTTCAACAGTTAGAGCATTGACTCTCAGATCATTTTCATCTAAGAGTGTTATAACTTTGGCTCTTAAATTTAGATTATCAATTTACTATGAGGTAATTTTTGTATGTGGAGTGAGGTGGGGTCTAACTTTATTCTTTTGCATGTGGTTATCCTGTTGTACCAGAATCATTTGTTGACAAGACTGTTATTTCCTTATTGAACAGTCTCGTATCCTTGTTGCAAATCAGTTGGTTATAGATGTTTAGGTTTATTTCTGGACTCTCAATTCTATTCCATTGGTATATGTCTATCTTTTTAAATTTTTTTTTCCCCTCACCCGAGGACATTTTTCCATTTTTTGTACAGATAGAGTGGGAGGGAGAGAGAAGAAGAGAGAGAGAGAGAAACATCGACGTGAAAGGGACACATTGAGTGGCTGCCACCCACACGACCAACCAGGGCCGGGGACAAACTGCAACCGAGGTACGTGCCCCTAACGGGAACCAAACCCGAGTCTCTCTGGACTGCAGGCCGACACTCTACTGCTGAGCCAAATCAGCCAGGGCAGTATAATGTCTATCTCTTTGCTATTACCATTATTGTTTTGATGATTCTATCTTTGTAGTAAGTTTTCAAATAGGGAAGTATGAGTACTCCTATTTTGAATACCTTTTGTTTAATCCTCATCTGAGGATATTTTTCCATTGTTTTTTGATAGAGTGGAAGGGAAAGAGGGAGGGAGGAAGAGAGAGAGAGAAACAGAGAAACAGAGAAACACTGATATGAGAGAGACACATCAATTGGTTGCCTCCCGCACAACCCTAGGGTCAGGGATTGAACCCACAACCTAGGTTCAAGCCCTTGACCAGAATTTGAGAACCAGCTTTTCTATTTCTGTGGAAATGGGCTTTGGAATTTTGATGGATATTTACCTGTAGAAAACTCATAATTGCAAATGATTTCTGTCTGGCAGAAAAGTTAACCTTGTGGGTGTGGCTCGGTGGTTGAGGTTGACTCATGCAACAAGAGGTTGTCGGTTCAATTCCGGTCAGGGCACATGCCCAGGTTGTGGGCATGCTGTTTAACTGCTGAGCCAAACTGGCCAGGGCCATTCCATTCTTTTTTTTTTTTTAATCCTCACCTGAGGATGTTTTTCTGTTTATCTTCAGATAGTGTGGGAGGGAGAGAGAGGGAGAGGGACACGTTGACTGGTTTCCTCCCGCAGAATCCCGACCAGGGCCAGGACGAACTGCAATCGAGGTATGTGCCCTTGGTTGGAATCGAACGCGAGACTTATTGGTCCATGGGCTGACACTACCACTGAGCCAAACTGGCCAGGGCAATTTTTTTTTTTTTAAGTATAAATTTTTATTTTGTCTTTTCCCTTTCTTTAGCTTTCAGTCGATTTGTATGTTTGTATCTAAAGTAGCGGCTCTCAACCTGTGGGTCCCGACCCCTTTGGAGGTCGAACGACCCTTTCCCAGGGGTCGCCTAAGACATAACAGTAGCGAAATTATAGTTATGAAGTAGCAATGAAAATAATTTTATGGTTGGGGGTCACCACAACAGGAGGAACTGTATTAAAGGCATTAGGAAGGTTGAGAACCACTGATCTAAAGTCTCTTGTACACAGCATGTAATTGAATCTTGAGTTTTTAATAATTTTGTCAATCTCTTGTTGGAAGAGGTCATCAAGCAGATGACACCACCAGTTGTCTCAAAAGCTGACCCAAGCACAACTGTAGGTCCCTCACCCGCCCCCCCCTTGTCCTTAGAATGTTCCTTCTGCTAGCCTTCCCTGCTCCAAGGATAAAGCCTTGAGATAGAAATGTGGTGTTGAACTCTTTGGATGGTATGCATGACAGAATTCAGTTAGGGCCTCTATATAAAAACTTTTAAGATTTGGCGGTGGGTGCAGAAATCTCATCTTGTGGCCACCCTAGACAACCTCATAAATAAGTTCCCTTATTTATTAAAACTGCCTCTTACCAATCTGGAGTGGTCTGCCTCTTTTTTTGGTCTTTTCCTGCCCCCTGCGCATGAGTTCCCAGTTTTAGATTACACTGGGAAGTTGCTGAGGAGGTTGTGAACTAACATCTCTGTAGATTGGAGTGTTAATCCATTTACATTTAAAGTAATTACTACAATATGGGTCTTATTTCTGTTATTTGCTATATACTGGATGGTGTTTTTGTCCCTCATTTCTTGCATCACTGTCTTCCTTTGTGTTAAGTTGATATTTTTATAGTGAAAAGTTTAAATTCCTTTCTCATTTCCTTTGTCTATAGTTTATAGCTATTTTCTTTGTGTTTA